TAATGATGGGTAAGTGCTTAATTGCACAAAGTAGAATGATAATTGTAATTAAGTATATCACTTTAACTTCCTTAAATTCAATAAGGAGTTGCACGTCGAGTAGCTGGTGTGAACAATGATGAAGAGAAAAGCAAAACACTTGAAGATAGGGTTAGCATGTTTTTGGCAAAAAACCTTCGAAATCAAGATTATATAGTTCAGATAGATGGCCTTGCTCATCCATCACATATGGAACTAGATCGTGACCCTGATGTTAACGGTACTACGCCACCGACTGACGAATCATATTCCACTAAAATTACGAGTGGCACCGGTCATTTTTCAGGCGAAATTGAGATTCTTGTTGAAACTGTCGACCAGTGGATTGCTAACGCAAAAGAAGATAATCCTGCAAGATGGCTGAAATTATCAGCATTTTCAGAGAGATATATATATGGTAAGTAACTCAGCCTATGATAAATTGAGTGTACTATTCGAAAACTTTTATTAAAATTCATTGATTTCGTAGCGGACAAATTTCATGGTTTCGCCAACTTGATTGGTGTTCATGGCATATCTATTATATCCGTAAATGAGCTTTTTTTAATATGCATTTGTCACGCTACTCTATTTTTCGTAACAAATCCTTTATATTCCAAAGGATATCGATGATACTATTAAACACACAGACATAACCAGTGGTCCACGTGCAGCTCTTTCTAGCACCTTTCTGTATGATCAAAAGGAGGTAAAAAGTCTTTGACGTTAAATGTCTTTCTTTAGACTACGATTATTCATCTGTCCTTGACATTCGCTAGGTTTCCGGTATGGCAAATGTTTATCAGGAATGGGTTCGTATAAAAATAAAAACAAAATTAATAATTGGGTTTTGATTTTTTTACGAGCATTAATGGTTTATTTTTATATGTAATAGTATAAACAAGGCGCGTCGATACACTACGTGTCAAATTCACCTTGGCAACTATTTCCCATGCTCAACCAATTTTTCCGCACTAAGAATTTTCCTCCCGGTTCGGCACACTTGAAACTATATGATTTTAAAAACCTAATGGACTCTGGTAGTTCAAAACGCCAATATATTAGAGATATTATTAAGGTTAGTACTTCAGTTCATGTCACAATAATCAATCTATATAGATTCTGATAGTATACTTTCTCAACAGGACTTTCCTCAAAGAAAATTTATTCTTATTGGTGATAGTGGAGAATCGGACATGGAAATGTATTTATTTATTTTTGTTGTTTTTCGAGAATTTCATTTCCAAAAATACGCTAATTTTTTTTTCTTTGAAAAAAAAAAAAGTTATTCCGACATGGCAGAAGAATTTCCTAAGCAAATTTTATACGTCTTTATCCGTGACGTGTCCACAGAACGTATCAAAATGCGTCCACCACCTCCGAGACGATCAAAATCTTTTCCATTTGTTCCGAGGCGTTCACCTTTGCCATCCAAATCTGTAAAGACGATGCCAGTTGTAAGTGATACTATCGTAGATAATTTTGATGGTAACTCTGGTAATAGAACACCGCCTTCGCCTTCTGAATCCGAGGAATCATCGCCAACAACACCGTTAACACCACCCTTTATATATATTTTTACCCATAGAGAGAATATACAATGCACAGTAAATGAATAATACTTGGTAGATGAAGAAGGAAAACTTATGTAGAAGAAGTAGATAATTGTGTTGAGTGAAGAAGGTAATTGTGCTGGGTGAAGTAGGTGAATATAAACATTACTCATCATGTTTATAGTTTGTGAGGGGGAACTAGATAATAATATTTTGTGTTTAAAACATTTAAAGTTTGTGTAAAGGAATTAGAGATTTGTGTGGAGGAAGAAGGTTCATGTGGAGAAAGAAGATGAACTTGTGTTACTTTCTTATATAATACTTTGTGTAACTTAAAGAACTCTTTTATATAACCTTGTATCACCTAAAGTTATGTGAGGTCATGTGACTATGCCACACTTTTAATAGCCAATTAAAATATTTCTATATTAATGCTATATAATATTCTATCTAAATATATATAAAACTAATATATAATAA